TATTCAAACTTTAAAATTTTTGAGGTGTGGTTGAAATATGTGAATGTTTACATTAAAAAATATTACATTAAAAGACATATTGTCATGAAGCCATCTCAAAATACCCTCCCTGCAATCTGAATACACTCATCCCTTCTTCCTGCCACTTTCTAAAGCAGTTCTGGAAGTCCTCTTCCCTAAGTGCCTTTAATTGGGCAGTGGTTCCTACTTCGATGTGCTGAATCTATTCAAAATATTTCTTTTGTGGTCATTTTGACCTTGGGGAAGAGCTAGAAGTTGCATGGAGTCAGATCCAGTGAATACTGTGGGCAAAGACACCCTACAGTGTCCTAGGAGCCTGCCTTTCCATTGGGAGGCACTCAGAGCACTGTTTTCAAGATACAGGGTGAAGCAGCAGTCCCTGTATTTTTGATCACACCTTCCCTAAAGTCACTCAGGAGAGAAGACTCCAGAGTTGCTTCAGAAAGTGGCAAGAAGGATGGGGGAAGTGAGTTGGAAGTGAGGGGGAGGATTTTGAGGGAGAATAATGGCAATGTATCTCTTGCTGTGATAGACTTTTTAATCTAAACATTCACTGTATAGTTTTTATCACTCCTTGTACTTGCTATTGAGAAATCATTACCTTGAAAATAATTACTAAATTTGCTTCCTTTAGAAAAATGTTATTTCTTTGCTAACATTTCTAATACTAGCACTGGTGAATGCTATTTTAGGAGAATATGTCTTCTACAAAAGAGTTTGAAATAGAATAGAGGTTTCCAGAATATGAGGGGTCTCATAAGGACTCAGCTGGAAGGTGCCTTCCTCTTTTTTAAGGAATAATTTCATTCCACATATGACGCCTTGCGTTCAGGTAGCTTCTGTGGTTTCCAGGTATGAGTCCTGCTCTGTGTGTTTTGATAAAAAGGTGTTTCCTCTTTGGCTTTCCCCTTTGCAAAGCTGGATATGTGTATACACATTCTCAGGTCTGCCTTGGGCAGATATCAAGCAATTTCTGAGGACGATGAAGATGTAGATTTGTAATGTCATGCATGGTTTGCTATATTTACATTCTATGAAAAATGTCTGCTTCCTAATTATTTGTGTGCTCAATCTGAATCACAAATAATACCAACAGCACACTCTGCTGCACATGTATCTTCAAACTGATCTATGTTGTTTAGAGCACCATTCCTCATTTGACTAAATCTCACCACTCTTTCCTGCAGAGCCATCCCTGTGGATGGAGGGAGCACAGGCTATACAAAGCTGAAAGAGGGAATTATTCCATGTGTGTGGTCATAATGTTTACATTCCTCGTGAGGAATTGGTATGCACGGGCATAGCATAGCACCTCTGAAGTCCTTGTTTTCATCCCTTCCCCTTCCTTCCCTCCCCTCTCCATCATCTCTTGAGCCCTTTCCTTTTTTGTAATACGTGTTTTCAGTACATAACATTTACATTCCTACCCATAAAAAGCATAAAGTTTTCTTAGATCTCAACTCATTTCCCTGAAGCCAGTCTTTGAGAGAGACCGAAGTTTACTCATTCACACCAAAGTCAGCACATCACTGAGCTGCAGGCTACTGCGGGTCTGTAGGCAGAGGGGACATCCTAGTTCTGCCCAATCAGCCCAATCACGTGTAGCTGACAACCAGGCTGCAGCGACCCTGGGTTCACTTTCCACCCCAGCTAACCAGCCGCCGAAAGCACTCAGGGCACCACTGGTGCCAAGAATGTACCTCTGTCTTCCAGAGAGCTTTCCATTAGCACACTGTGATGGCCTTAAGAGCTTATTTTTCTTTATAAATAGACTTTGATATTTTTATTAGCTCTTCTTTTTCTTGAATTCTTTTATTGGCGCATTTTAAGTATCCAATACACTTACATTTTTCATTGGGATCTTGTAGCTGTACATGATGCATCTTGGTTCTTATTTGTTCCCCCTTCCCCTGCCCTCCCTTCACCCCTCCACCCCTCCCTGTTTACAGAGACTTTGTTTCCATTTTTTCTTTTCCCCTAACCCTCCCCACTTCCCCTGCCCTTTGGACCTTTTCTTCCTATTTTTCGATTCTGTGTCACTGCTCAATCTTCATCTCTTGTTAGTTTGAATTCTTTTCCATGATAAAATTATGTGTCAGACATTAAGTCTAAGGACTAAGCTTATTTTATTTTTACAACATTAAAGCAGAAGAAGCCCTTCCAAATCGTAGCAAATTTGCCCACGGAAATAGGAATAAAAATACAGAGTCTCTTGGAAACGGACATCATCAGTATGTTTAAGAACTTCGAATCTTTGAAGGAAATAAGCATAAATGACAGGCTAAACAGTACAAGCGTGGCATTACGTTATATGTGTAGGTCGTCTCTGGAATGTTCTTGTGCAAGTACATCCTGGCGCTAGATTTTTCAGTGTAATGTAGCTGTGACTCTGCTATTCAGATGAGATGAGCCAGCTATTAAACTTTCCTTGGCCATTAGTTACTCTCTTAGCTAAAACCTACACAGGAGTTTCTAGACACCACAGCTTGCTTCTCTGGAGAAATGAAACCCTCATCCAGCCAGGCCATTTCCTCCTCTTCCCACTGTGCAGGATTTTGATCCGTAAGCTAACAAGAGTCAACAGTTACCAGTCTGGTTAGCAGTCTGTCCATCTGACCCATCTTGATTTTAGTGAGGGACGACGTTAATGAAAAGGAATGTTCAAATCAGGACCTAAATTTCTTCAATAAATCCAAGTCGCTTTCAGGAGAAACGCCCTTCCTTCGGTTTCTCTGCAGTGTCTTCGCGGTGGAGTCTGAAACCTGCCCCTGGTCTCTGCCTGCTTGCCCCCCTCCGGGCAGAATACCCCCACTCCCACGTGGCCCACTTCTCGGGACACCCCCAGTCTGAGAGCACCTCACACCCCCCCAGAAGCTCTGGTGTCAGTGCCTGGTACATCCCGAGCCCTCTGAAGATCTGACTGCAGGTCGCTGGGCTCCTGGACAGCCCCCCAAACTCCCCGGAAAGATCCCCCAAGAGGGTGGTTTCTTCCCACCCTGCCCGGGCGCCAGCAGGTCCGTCAGGACCTCCTATCTCCTGCTCCCAGGGGTCACCCCAGTACGCTGGGGGCTAGCAGAGGTGGCACCTCACTTCCATTGGTCCCCCCCCCCAACTCCCTTATTTTAAAAGGTCCCAATTCATGAGCAGCAGTAGACAGAAGCAGGGCCCGGTTACCGAGGAAAAAGCAGATGAAACAATTTTGTTTTCATGTAGTATAAATGGCACTGAAATATTTTCCGAGACAGCTTAGCTAGATAAGCATAGCAAGGAGATAAAAATTGCAGCTGGACCTGCCTTCTTCACTCGTTTGGCATTCTGGATTGCTTTCGTTTTCTTCTCCTATTCTCAGTTCTCTTTTTGGTTCAATCACACACAAGTGGAGTAAGAAGAGGCTAAGAGTCATTTGAGCCATCACTAAATTTTGTGCATTTCTGACTCAAACCACCAAGGCCACGTCGAAGGGAAAGTGTGTTATTATCCAATAAACGTGGGTGTGAATTCTATTGTACTTCATCCTTCAAAACATCTACATTTGTATCACAAAAGAGTGGGTTAATATAAAATAAATGTGTCAGAGGCACACTGCAAAAGAGCTAGTTGGACTCTTTAGGGGCTTGGGCCCTCGTGAGTTTTTGGATCAGTCTGGCTCCGTGGTCGGGTGGCTCAGAGCTCCTGCGCTCCGTCCGGTCTCCTGTTACGGGGTAGCTGGGACTCAAGCCTCTGCGCCTCGCCTCACTCCAGCATGACCATTAAAATTGCCTTTTAGCATGTTATCATTTTTTCTAATATGTTTACACAGTACTTGCATGATGCCGGAAACTGTGTCAAAGTGGACCCAGCTTTTCGGCAGTCGTTACCCACGGTATTTCAGAACTTGGGCTTTGCGTGGGTGGAATCGGCACCTCCCTCGCCGGCCAGCTGGCTGAACCTGTCTGCATTTTGCAACTTCTCCTGGTAACAGTGCCCACTTCTCCCCGTGGCCACAGCGCCTCTGCCGGTCCCGGGCTGCGTCTGGCCGCGTGGCCTCCTGTGTCTCGGGTGGGCCGGAAGGCTGCGCTCACAGGGGCCCCGGTAGACCCGGACTGCGCCCCCTCTGACCCGCTGGCCGGAAAGCGGGGAGCCCCGGCTTTCCCAGCGTGGCTGTTGCTCCTCTCTCGGAACTCCGGGAGCCGACGCTAAGGGGCACCAGAGCCCGGGCTGCAGCCGCGGCGTGGCGGAAGTCCCCGGGGCCTGGCCTGAGCCGCCGCGGAGTGCTGGGCGGGGACCACGCGGGTCGAGGAGTCGCCCGCGGGACCGGGCGCGTCCGTCAGTGTGGAACAGGAGGGCGCGGCTCGGGAGCTGCCTCCCAGAGCCCCAGGGTGCATGTAGCTGCCCGCGGGCGGATGCCCAGACGCGTCCCCGTCCCCCCACGCAGGCCCCAAGCCAGGGAGCAAGTGCGCCGGGAGCTGGCGCTGCTCTGTAGCTGGGTTGGGAAACCGAGGCACAGCCACAGTCAGCAAAGGCAGCCGGGCCCCTCGCCGGCCGCTCGCACTCCGGGAGGGCGGGACGCGGGGGACGCCGGACAGGTGGCCCTGCAGCCCGCTCTCGCCGGGGACGAGGAAAATAACAAGGGGCGCACAAGTCGGAGGCTGGGTCCACAGCCGGGGCCCGGGCGGGGTGCAGTCGGGTCCGGGCGAGCTCGGCTGGGGGTGGGGTTCGTCTGCGGCGCGTCGGGGGTCCGTGCTGGGGTCTCTGTGTGCACGGGAGTGTGTCGGGGCCCCCGCCTGCGCCCCTCGCCACTGCGCCAGGATGGAGCGAGCCGGCCGCGGGAGGAGATGACGCAAAATCCCGCGCTCCCCCCAAAAAAGTGGCTCCAGGACGAAGATGGCGGCGGCAACTTAGGAGGCTGAGGATGCCCGCGCTCCCGGGCGGCCCGGCGCAGGCTTCGCGGGCCCGAGGTCTGGGGGCGGCGGCCCAGGCTCGGGACCCGGCGCGCGCCGACTAGGGCGGGAGGGGCGGCGGCGGAGACGGCGAGGAGGAGGAGGAGGAGGAGGAGGAGTAGGAGGAGGAGAGGCGGCGGCGAGGGGAGGAGAGCAGAGGAGGCGCTCCGGTCGCCGCCAGTGGGCAGCGGAGATCGCGCGTGGCCCTGGCGAGGGACAGCGGGCTGCGCTCGGCGGGGCCATGGGGACCCGCGCGCTGACGATGCCGGGGTGAGAGCGCATCGGCCGGCGCCTCCACCATCCGCGTCCTGCCTCAGCCTCTGCCTGTCGCTCTCTCTGCATTATTGTTTCCCACTCTGCTGAGGATGTTGTCGGCTGATGATTAGGTCGGAAGCCAGTCAGCTCTTCCTCCAAAGCCCGGTAATGTTTCTGTAGGCGAGAGGAGAGAGAGGGAGAGGGAGAGGGAGACAGGGCCAGGGAGGGACGCGGACCCCGACGCTTCAAGTCAATGCATATTGTGGTGGCCAGACCCAGGCGCCCTCACGGTGGAGACGGCCAGGGCTGCGCGTTCCCGAAATATGACCAGCGGTGCCTGGATGTGTCGGCAGTGTGACGACGGCTTAAAGATCTGGTTGGCGGCACCGCGGGAGAACGAGAAACCGTTCGGCGACTCGGAGAAGGCTCAGAAATGGCGCCTGTCCCTGGCGTCCCTCCTGTTCTTCACCGTCCTGCTCTCTGATCACTTGTGGTTCTGCGCCGAGGCCAAGCTGACCCGCACCCGGGACAAGGAGCAGCAGCAGCAGCAGCGCCAGCAGCAGCAGCAGCAGCAGCAGCGCCAACAGCAGCAGCAGCAGCAACAGCAGCAGCAGCAGCAGCAGCGCCCGCAGCGCCCGCGGCCGCCGGAGCCCTCCTGGCCCGCGCTCCCGGCCGGCATGGGGCAGGCGGCTCCCGGCGCCCCGACCCCGCGCCTGCTCCCCGCCGCCGCGTCCCCCACGCTGCCCCCGTCCCCGGGCGGCGGCGGGAGCGGCCGAGGCAGCAGCCCCCGGAGCAAGCCCCCTTTTCCAGGGAACTCTGCCAAGCCCGGATGGCGCCTGGAGAGCTGCTACCCCCAGGGCGCGTCCTTGGGCCAGTGCTTCACGGTGGACAGCGCGGACGCCGTGTGCGCCAGGAACTGGAGTCGGGGGGCGGCGGCCGGGGGGGCACAGGGGCGGCGGCCGGGGGCCTCGCAGGCGGCCCCGCTCTGGAACCTGTCGGATTTTTACCTTTCGTTTTGTAATTCCTACACACTCTGGGAGCTGTTCTCCGGTCTGTCCAGCCCCAGCACTTTGAACTGCAGTCTGGATGTAGTGCTGACGGAGGGCGGGGAGACGACCACATGCAGGCAGTGCGTGGAAGCTTACCAAGACTACGACCACCATGCGCAGGAGAAGTACGAAGAGTTTGAGAGCGTGCTGCACAAATACTTGCAGTCGGAGGAGTACTCGGTGAAGTCGTGTCCCGAAGACTGTAAGGTAGGATCGGTGGACTTTACCCCTAGCCTGCGCTCCTCTGTCTCTCTGCTGAGTCGGCCGAGGCGTCGGCTAGTGTTTGGATCTTATTTATTTACTTCTTCTTTCCTGGCTCGGTTGGGTTACTTGGATGGTAGCCTCTCTGGTTTGCAGGAGTGGTGTACCTGGTGGATTGCTGGCGGACACGGCTGGCTGCCTTCCTTTGGGAATCCTTGGAAAATCAGGGGAGTCCCTGGCCTTTGGAGACACCAGGAGTGGCGCTTTCAGTGTTTCCTATAGCTGTGCCGCTGCCGGAACTCTGTTACACATGGCATTTAAAAGATGCAATGCAGGAAGGGATACTGATGACCACAGCAGCCAGAAGAGTCAGAAATAGGCACTAGGGTTCGGGCCCCCCCAAGTCACGTCATGAAACCGGTGAACCAGAGGGCAAGAGAAGGTGTAATTGCTTTTGTAGGATAAGCAACAAATTGCACGTGTGTTTAGGGGTTCGTTCTTGCTTTATGGGAACATCTGGGGGCCTAGCTGAGGATATGCACTCTCCCTGTTTCTTGTTTTCTTAGACATTTGTATAATTATTGATCTGAGACTCATGACAAGCAAAAAGTTATAATTAGTTTTCCAGTGATAGCAAGGTTAGGTTATTTATCAGGCAGACACCTTATGTAATTTGGATTTTTCAGTATCCTCTTTAGAAGTCCTACATGGCAAATCTCAGAAGCTGTGGGTTAACATTGACTGAAATACTTCCCAGTTCCTGTTTTAGCAAAGTGAAGGAAACCTAGGCAAGTTGCAGGGTCGCTGTCCGTGGTGCTGAAGGGCCTCTGCCCAAGAGATGCGATGAGGGAACTGCAGTCACCTTAACAGGCGAAAATTAGGACAGATTCTCCGTAAGCCTAGGCCGGTCGGTCAGGGATAATTGCTTAACAGCACAATGAAACAGCCTTGACTTTCAGAGGAAAGCAGACACCACGCTCTCTCTTCTTTCCCTTTCCTACTTCCCCCGGCCTCCCACGCGAGGGGAACAACTGCCCCTTGCCTCCCTTGGAAAGTAATCAAAAGCAGCATAAATTAGAAGATCATTGATGCTGGGGGACATTTATTTTAAATGGACACAGTTTAAGAGCCTCGTTTTGCTTGGGGTTACTCGTGCTTTTGAAAGTGAAGCTAAACTCAGTCTGACCTTGCTCTATCATCGTTCTGTAAGACCAGAAACATGCATCTTTGAAAATAGGGACTCTGAGTTTATGACATTGAGAACACTATTTCATTAAATAAGTGGATCTTAAACTTTCCTAGCTGTTTTTTAAACCGTACCATTGTAACTCATGCTTGGGAATTAAACTCAGGTGTTAATGGTAGGAATTAATAATGAAGGTTAGTGTACTTATTGTACAGTTACTAATTTTGATAAGGTGTATTGCACTGAAAATGTACTATGAGGCACTGCTGCTGAGAATTCCACCACCGAGGTTGTAAAGTTTCAGCATATTTACCTTTAAGAGTGGGACCTTGTAATTAATTTGGACTTTCCTGCTGCTTTGAATATAAGCCCTCATAGAAGTTTCTGGTAATTTCAGTTGGCATAATTCAGCATTCAAAAGATAGACTTTGTTGTCAGTAGACTGGAAGATAATTTCAAAAAAGTATGTCAAGTTTATCTTTGTTCAAATGTCTACATAAATATATTAAAATATTTCTTCCCTCTTGACCTGAATTAATTCTCAACCTGTTTACATCATCACAGCTATAAAGTATGATAGAAGTTAAATTTGTGTTCTCAACTAATTTTTATAAAGTAGAAGTTAACAAAAGCATATTATAAAAATCTTAACTGCTTTAAAATTTCTTCATTTTGAAAAGTAAATATAGGTATCAGTTTTCTCAGAAGCTCAACATTTAATACATTGTTTCTGATTTCTTATAGATACTTCTTGGCTGTAGTGAGTTCTTTTTGTTTATTTGTTTTTGTTGTTATTGTTTGGCCATTGGAAACATTTGTTCCATAGTAGTTATTTTTAAAAAACTGTAATTTCAGTTTTAAAGAACTAGTGATTTTGGTTTAGGACCCACAAACCAAGTGGTTATATTCAGAAATATAATACAAGAGTTAGTTTCTTAGTTTAATATGGTATTTCTCTATGATTCTGAAAAATCTACAAACATACCTGTGTACAAGTCATAGCATAGAGATAGCTTAAAATGGTACTTGTCATCTTTCAAGATTGTGTTTGAGCTTCTTTATGAACACTTGTACTCTTGTTTCCAACACAATTCTAACTGTGAAATAACTATCATCAGGAATTCTACTCAAGGTGTGTTGTGGGGCTGCGAATGTAGTTCAGTGGTAGAGCCCTTGGCAGGTGTGTATGACATCTTGGATTTAATCCCCAGCACCACACACACACACACACACACACACACACACGAGTATGCACACACAGAGAAACACACACAATGTATATATATTGTGTAACATACAATAATATATATGAAACAAAATTTTCCATCTTTTAAAGGCAGCTACAAAGTCATGAGATATATTAAAAGTAAATGCATTATCTTTCTGTAATTGGCAATTTATTAGTGAAAAAGCAAATCTTAATAGTTTATATTATAAATATACTCATCAAAATTGCAGATAATATTCATAAAAACATGTTAGTGCTACAAATGTAGTGGAATTAGTATTTTAGAAAAATATACTAACTTTTAAATACTGTGTCTAAATAACTTCTGTGATTTCTAACATTTTAGTTAGAATGTATTATTATCTTCTAGTTTTATATTTTCTCACCATTAAAAATAATCACATGCCAAATATGTGTAATACAAAAATAGATTAGATTTAATTTTGATTTAAATTGTTTTAAAGATATTTTTGACCATGTGTTTTTGAAACCATAAAGTAGATCTAACAGCATCATAGTCTTGAATTCACAGTAATTGCAGGCCAAATATAGCTAATTTACTTTGGTAAATCTTTGTATATTAACATACAATAGAAATATTGCACCCAAGAATATTGTAAGAAATAATTGATTTAACTTTAAAAAAAATAAAATATTTGCATTTGTGGAAAAGTAAATGATAAAAACCTGTTGCATGCATCATTTGTTATACCGCATTTAAGTGGCTATATTACACAAATTGGATAGCAAAAATTGTGACTAATTTTTTTCAGTAGCCTACAGTATTATTCAGAACTGTTATTGGTATATAAAAGTCTGACAAATCTGTCAAAATATTTAAGTTGCCAGGTGATATGAAAAATTAAATGTTCTAAGTTATAAAGTTATAAATATATATTATTTTCATGCTTGATTTTTTTCCTTAAAACTTTTCTCTTACATGTACCAAGCTCCTGATCAGTTTTGCAAATAAACATTATAAGAATGAGGTATTTAGGAAATATGAATTTTTGTGTCACGGGTAAACTTCTGTAGTTGCTCATGCCTCTGTACTTCCTGAATACACTTAGACATTGGTGAATGAACACGGGTGTAATATGAAAGTCATTGGTGGGCTATTGCACTGTATGTATTTGCCTTATCTCAGCATAGAGTTTAATCTGTATTCTCCTGAGATGCATGCATTGTCATATTTTTACTTTTACAAGCTCATATTAAAGCAAGTTATATGGGTATATGGCTTATTTGTGCCTAACAAACAGACACCAACCGCAACACAGCTTGTAAATATCAGGTCTCTATAAGCATATGTGAGACTTTCTGTCTCTTTTCAGATGCTGCTCCCAATATCACTTAGTTTGAGAACATAGAATTTGAGTTACATAATGTGTAATTTGAAAATTTTCCATTTCTTAATTCTTACTAAGTTTAGGGTCATGGTCTACAGATTCATAAAGAAATAGTATTTTAAGAGAAAATAAAATACAGAACAATTCTGTCCATTCAAATTTTGAACCTAAAATATTATTTTACTCTCTATTAAGTGCTATTGTACATATTATGTCATTATCCATAAATGTGTAATCTATAAATAGACCCTTTTCTTATTCTTCCACTTTGTTGTTTTCAAATTATGCTCATGGTTGAATGATTCTCTGCAGAATCAAACAGTCTCATCATGCTGCTGCTGATTTTAACCACTCATAAGGCTTTTTATAAGGTCAAAGACTCTAGTGGAATGATATTTATGACTGAGATTTATGGTTTTTATATATGTGGCTCTCTATACAACTTCTGACTTCTGATCTGTGTTTTATTTTTATTGAGATACAGCCAGATTTTGTCTTAATATATTAGGTATCTTTTGTATTACAGAGCAAAGAATAAATATTTTTACTTTGGACTTGTAAGTGGGTCAGACGAGCAGCTATATAGGGCACAACCTAACTGCTGATACATATTGTTTTAATCACCTTTATCGGGGAGGGAGGTGCGTGTCTGCAGCAGCAGGGTGAAAGAAAGGGAAGAAATCAAACAGAGCTCTGGGTCTCACCTCCCTGCAGGTAAATACCCAGACCACTCTTTTAAGGGAAGGAACATTTTGATATGAATGACTTGACCCATTGCTTTACATTTATCCTCATTTTCCGAAGATTGCTGTAAAACAGCATTCATCTTCTGCGTCAGTCTCACAGCAACTAAGCACCAAATATTTTGTTTATTTTAATTTATAGCAAAAGAGTGTCTGTTCAGTACCAGTGACCAGCTCCTCAGGGTCAGTGGTGGTCGGGTAACTGAGTGTGACCCCAGGGAACCTTGCCAACCCGAGGCCTGGGTGTTTCCGGGGTTAGCGAACTTGATATCCTTAGCCTGGCCTTTGTCAGAGGCCCGGCCTCATCAAAGCTGGCCCAGCGGCTGTAGCTGACAGCTGGGGCCAGGAGCCAGTCTGGTTGGCAGTCCCAGGCAATGCTGGATAATGCTTTTGCTCCACTGAGAAGACAGAGCTTAGGTCAACGTTGTGTCCTGGTGGTGACACTGATAAGTCGCAGGCAGAGCGTGGGGACCAGATGTGTCCCAAGCAGGCGGGCAGTG